AGAGAGAGAGAGAGAGAGATTGCCCTTTCCATATAAATAACATTGACCAAAGTTAACAGAAGTTTAGATGTAAGATAAATGTAGAAAATCTCATTGAAAACAATACTTATATAATATTTATGTCAATGTTATGAAAGAGATAGACATAAAACACTCAATAAAAATTAATTACAAATTGTCATTTCTTAAATAAAATTTATTTATGATCGCAGTTATGATTACAACAATAGTTCACACAATACTAGCGTTATTGTTCGTGGGGTTGAGGTGTGGGCTCGACATAGGGTATGGGATCGCAAGTGTCGGCCTCGTGGCGATCGGCCTCCAGAGGCGTGAGGTCTATGAATAGGGGAGAGCCGAGAAACATGACCCGATCGGTGTGATCGATGATCTCGTATCGGGTCAACGGGTGAAACAGTACCGAATGGTTGCCTCTGTTCAACATAAACCACGACATGCCGTGCGATAGAGAGCTTGAGTTACAACAGGTCTCGAAACTGCCGATCGGATGCGGACCCGTCGGCACCACATTGAAGTGGTTCACACGACACCCCTTTAAACTACCATGCTCAATCTCCTCGTGCACCTGACGCCTGCATATTATTGTAATATAATGTAGTTTTTTAATTAGCTTTTGGTTCGGTTTATATTGAAATAAGTTGTGTTTAATTACCTGAAGAGCAAAGCTCTTTGATAACTGTTTTTGTTGTTTTGAAAGAAATAGGTGTGAAAGTGGTAACCAGTGATCTCCGACTCGTCCCAAGCGTTTGTCGTCAATACAATCGCCGCCAAAGTTATAACTAATAGTAGTATTGATTTCATTACTTATTTAAAAGATTTATATTAAACTTTTAAAATATGAATATTATTAGCAACACTTAGAACTGAATTCAAACGATTTTCTCCCAACTATTTATATATTGCTGTCGTTATCTAAAAAGGGGTTCAAAAATATAAACGAAACCATATTTTGTGTAATCAGTCGCTAATCACTTAATCAACAACATTAAGGATTCACAACTCTATTCATTTAATAGTGTTATAAAATAGTTATTTGTTTTTATCATGAGATGTAAATACAATGTAACGTATGTAATAAATCATATTTCAAAAACAATACCTGGTACTAATTATCAATTGCATATAATCAATATGTGTTGGATTATATGATATTTTATGCTTATTTAGTATAATCTGGTATTTAAACAATTTATATAGATCAATTTTGGTACGAACTTCAATAATTGATTTATCTTTAAAGGGTAAATATTACACACAATTTGCCTCATGTGAAGACACAAAGGGATCAATTCAAGAACCCTTTGATATGAGAGGTTATGTACACAACATGATTGTATTGTCACATCAGTACCAAACTTTTTGCGACAATCATTTGATAAATTATAATGATATTACAAAACATGTGTAAATTTATAAAAGTTATCGGTAAATAAAATAGTTTTTTTAAGTG